ATAAGCATAAAGGAAGAAGAAAATGAAGCTTTGTTTGAGTGCACTTTGTTTAAGAATGAAACAGCACATGTTATTCAAAGTTCATTTATGAGTACATTTATAATTTTCAAGAATGAAATGTCGATTTATTTCTCGTCTAAGGAACGTATAAACGATATATTAAATTAAATTCTACATGAAAGTGAACCGAAGTAATACATAGTACATGCACTGTTTCATCCTTAGTTGTATTCATACTCATGCATTAATAAAAAGAATACCCACAATAATAAAAGCATTAAAAGCTCATTCTTTTTTGTTTTTTTGTTAGTAATTGAACATAACATACCCTGCAATTTTATTTCATCTCCATCATCAAGAGTTGATGTAGTTGTAACACCGGATAGTTTTTGCGTTCTATTTATAGAACGATTTAAAGATGATTGAATGGATGTGGCAGTTGATGGACGTGAAATATTTGTACTATTTGTCTAATATGTATTTAAAAAAACAAAATGAACATCCATATATAAATTCATTTTAATAAATAATTATTACTGCTATCACTTTTTCATTGGAAGTTATACGAATAGTACGTAATGGTTCCGTTGTTGGAAAAGCTATTGTACGACTATTACCATTAAATGTTGATAGTTCACCATCATCAGGATGAAATGAACTATTGTCAAATCCTATGAGTCGAGAATAATGCATTATCAAACTAAGTATTAATATATAAGAAAGATTAGAAATTTGAATCTAAATATGTTGTAATGTGCTTTTTTTTCTATCGAATAAGAATATTATAGATATCAAAAATTATTGTTTGTCATGAAAGAAAAGAAAAAAAAATGACTAGATAATGAGTTGTAAAAAAAAAAAAGGGAAAAATATGAGATCGAGATCTAACTCATTTTATTCTACTAGAGTTAATCTGAAATGATAGAAAAGCGGCACGTTAATGTATTCTAAAATAAGAAGAAGTAGAAGAAAAAACAAGATTTTTCTGCTTATGACTCTATAAAGTACGTTAAAGTTCATGTTGAATTGTAAATGACAATAATGGTTCAACGAGTTATTTTACCTTTTATTTCGTCTTGGCCTGATGTATCCGTTCGATGAGGTGTACGGCGAGTACGTAAATCTCCCGCACGTTTTATTGCTTCTTGCTAGAAGTAAGTTAAAAGCATAAGAAATTAATTAGATTCGACTATTTTACCTTTTGATTTATTTTTTTTCTATCAAATTTTTGATAAGAGGTCAAAGAATTTTGATCATCATCATCCGAAATCCTATAGTATGAAAAAAAAATGTTGTTGTTTTTGGTTTTTTTTTTGTATTTGATATTTATAATAATAACAAACTTACTGTCCTGGCATTCTTTCATTGTTCATTATTGTATTATAGTTTCTTTTTGATGTTATAACATCGATTTATATACACATAGATCTGTAAATAAAGTCAAAAAAAAAGGGTTATATAATATAGAAAAAAAAAAGAAAACAGCAAGTCGTCGAAAATAATATCAATTGTCATACATCATCTTGTTGTTAGGTATATAACAAAAGAAGATAGTAGTCATATAAAAAAAAAAAGAAAAGCGAAAAAGAAGAGTATTGTATTCTTTCTAACTCTTATCAGTCTATTTTGTTCGTTGTGCTGTTGATGCCAACGACATGATAAAATGTAATAATCGTAACGTATTTACGTAAACAAAAGAAAAAAAAGAACTCTTAAGATAGAAGTGATCCTAACTGTAGAACTAAAAAGACTTGTTGACATTGACTTATGAAAAAAAATTACTCATATTGTTCAAACAAATTTAAACAAGTATATGCATAAATAAATTTTTACTTCCTATATACATTTACATAGATTTATACCTATTCAGTTTTTAATGAAAAAGCTAACAATATAGGTAAAAATAAATAAAAAGATACCGATTTGATTGATGTCCAATAGTTGGATAAAACTAGTACTATTAAAAGAAATTTATTTTAAAAATAATGTGTGAATAATTCTAATTACTGAACTAAAGTTCTTACCATTAATTTTTTTTCTCTCTTCGTTCTATCTAATGTTGTTGTTTTTTTTCTTTTTTTTTTCTTGTATTTCTATAAGTGTTCTTGTCATCGTCAGACAATATACAGAGATAGAATGGAAAAATGATGTTCTGTCTTTTCTTCAGCTTTTTTTCTTTTCTTCCACTCTTGTTTTCTCTTGTTTTTTATCAACCATCTGGAGAAGAATATTTATTGTAACAGAGGAGAATTATAATCAAAAAAGAAAAAAAAAGAAAAAAGGAAAAGAAGAGAAAAAAAGGAAGATGAAGGAAAGGAAAAGAAGGAATTCTGTCCATGGAAAAAGGCAGATTACAAAGTAAAAAAGGTAGAAAATAAAAAAATAAAAGATATCTTTCATTATAAAATGACAACCACTTTTACATTTCATCTTTTATAAAGATTAAAAAGAAATATACAAAAAATATATTTCACTACAGTCAAGATGTCATCTTGTTTGAAGATAGTCAAGGATGAGTCATTACATAAGCAACCATGGTTTTGTTCGTTACTAAGCGACTAACCTTCAATCTGATTTCAATTCAAAATTCAAAAATAAAAATATAAATTAACGATGTCACCACTAACGTTGTTATGTAAAGAAAGAAAGTTTTTAACAACAGAGCAATAACTATATTTCATACATTCTAAATGTCCTTCGCAAGACTTTTACCAGCAAATAATAATAATGATGATGATGATGATGATGATGAAACTAATTCATTATCAGAAACAGGTGTTATTGTAAAAGATATTGTTCCACGTTCAATGGTTAATGATGATGATTGTACATGTACATGTGCATGTTGTCCAACTATATCAGATTGGTGTATAAAAGATGCATTTGGTCTATCATGTGGTATAATGACATGGATTTTCTTTTTGTATGGAGAATTTGTTTTTGTTTTTGTTATTTTAACACCGAAAACTTATTCATTATTATTTTATTGGATTAATTTCTTCATATTTCATTTACTTGAATTTCTTGCTATTTCATCACATTTTCGAACTATGTTTTCAAATCCAGTATGTATTAATTTATGCAATAATATTATTCAGTCTAATCTTTTTTTTCTAATATTCTAGGGTGCTGTACCATTGAAAAATGCTACACGAGAAAATTTACTTAGATATGAAAATGGTACAATTGTCTATCGATGTGCTATGTGTCAAAGTATAAAACCACCAAGAGCACATCATTGTAGGTACTAAGAATTTTTTGAATTATTTGATGATAGAAGGAATAAATTATTATAAAAATTCGAATGAAATTTCTACAGTTAATTACATCTTTGAATACTATTTAATTCAAAATTCTGGTATGAACTAATTGAGAAATTAGATTTATTTATTTGTGTTCTATTTAATGCGTTTTCAAATGATGATACTTTTTTAGATTTACTATGATAGAAAAGTAATCATTTCAAAGTATGGAAAGAAATTGAATGAGTTTTAATTGTTATTGTCTTGCTAATTTCATTGATGATCTAGTGAATTGTATCTTACGATTTATAAATTCAACTTTATAATCATGTTAAATAAATTGATTGTTCATTTTTACTTCATTAATCATTGTCGAAGAATTTTCTTTTATCAAAATAGATTTTTGTAAATATATAATCAATTTTAAATGTATGTTGTAGTATTAAAATATCATTCCTTTGTCAGATGTCAGATTACTCTCAATTTTGAATCCACCTGACAAATCCGATATTCAGATCTACATATCAGAGATTTGACTACGACTACTTTTTGTAGACCAGTAATATTAAGTTGAGTATTGGATAGAAGTACAAAATTATCTTAATAAGTCATGCAAAGGAAATTTTGCATAACGAAACATTTGATTTAATGTAGCATGTATTTGCCAAGCATAGATAAAAAGAAAAGAACCACATTAACATTTTGAAAACACAAATTCTGTTTTTAAATTAAGGACATTTCAAAGAAACTTGATGAAGTAATTGTAGATGACATATTCAGTCTTGTCATATTCCGATAATATAAATATGAATGAGAAAAAAGTAAAAAATTAGTCAAACGTTCACGTAAAATTATAATAACAATAATAGCTGATTAGAAACTACGAACATTAAATTCACGGAAACGAATCGATATCTGAAAAATGAACATTGTATTTACAATCTATTAGTAGACATGATTGTGTTCAGTGAAAATAATAAAGAAAAATAACATTATTTCTCATCTTTCAGAGATAAAGATATTCCACTGTGCAGTTTAATACTCAAATGTCATGTGCAAAAACCAACGAAGTTTTTTGTTTCTTGAGGCTTTAGAAAAAAAGAAAACATGACAAACTAGCGAGTCGACTCGATAACCTTTTGAAATTTTGCTATATTCTCTGTCATGATTTCCACTTTTTATAATTTGGGACTGCTTAACATGATTTATTTATAATCTATTATAATTATTTATTTGATATAGTGTATGTAAACGATGCATAAAACGAATGGATCATCATTGTGTATTTGTTAATAATTGTGTTGGACAAAATAATCAAAAATATTTTATTTTATTTACAGTAAGTATATGTATTTTCATAAAAACAAATAATAGAAAAATTTCTACATTAATATCATATAAAATACAAACTATTATGTTCATAATATGATTATGAAATAATAAAAATAATTGCACTCGAAGATTTGTCAAGATACTTCATTCATATATACTAACTTATCTTCTAAAAGAATCCATTTGTGTAATGATAAAATTTAAGTCTTTGCTTGAAAAAAAATTGAATAGATCATTGAATGAAAGTTATATGACATAAAACAAAAAGAAATGAATTACTACAATACTTTGACAGCATACTGAAGACATACTTATCTTATCAAGAAAATAAACATGATTATTTCGCTTTAGTAAAAAGATTAGTCCTATTGCATGTATTTTATCTTTTGTCTGAAGTTCTATTTGACTATCTATTGATAAATTATTTATAGTTGAAATTGTTTGTCCGTACTCGTTTTCATCGTTTATCAGATAACTATGTAAGAAGAAAAAAAAAAAAGGTTTTTTTTTTCAGAAGAATTCGTTATTTTTTTTATAATTAAAGAATTTTGTGTAAGGACTAAATATTTATACATTGATTTATTCTATCTTTAATTTCTTATTAATTTTAACATTAATTCAAATTTAAAGGTTTCAATCAAACAAGAACGGAATGAACGTAATCTAAAATAGATCTAATTGAATAATGTTACCGACTAGAAGAAGTCTTTAATTATTTAACAAACAAGATTTATAAACGTGAATATTATATGAGAACTTTAAATTCACAAAAACAGTCCAAAAATATAATACGTTTTTCTTTGATTGAAATTGTTGTGTTGATAGTAGTTTAGCTTATATGATATTTCAATAGTAAATCATTTTTGGAACAAGAAATTATTTAATGTATTTTCCAAATTGAATCTAATATATTAGTGAAAAAATTAAAAAAAGTCTATAACTATATAAAACGATAAATCATAGGAAAAAATAACTATTAACGATTGATGATACTAAATCAAATAAATGCATAGAGACAATGAAATGGAAATTCTAATAATAATGTAAAAAAAAAATTATAAAAATAAGTTTCTCTTTATGACGTTTAGCTAAGAAATTGAAACCAATTTTTTTTTTATTTAGAAAAAAAAGTCTCTGCTATTTTTCTTACAAGATGAATTTTCTAATTCTTTTTTTTACCTAACGAGAGAAACTATTCAAACTGATACCTGCTTGGGTTTACAAGGGTGCCTTAGTCAAACTGAAAGGATGCGTCTCCATGGGCTTTTGGAGCCAAGTTATGATGGTTTTACTGAATTTTCGATCTAGCTTTAGGTATATACTAAAAAATTAAAAAAAAACCAGAATTTCGATGTAAAACTTCATTTATTGATAGAGATCAAACAATGCGAAGAATATCCTAAAAGTTACAGTCGAAAAGAATGTTCTTTCATTTGAGATATCGAATTTCCGAGAAATATTTGCTTGGTACAGACATGATACAAAAATTGGCTTTATTTAAAAATCAATAGTGTGATAAAACAACATTTGTTTTAGCTAAAACTTTCAGATCGAAATTTCGTTATTTGATTATGGATTAAAAATTCAGTAAAACGATCATAACTCGACTCCAAAGATCTGAGAAAACGAATCCTTTCAGTCTCACTAAGGCGTCCTTGTAAGGACCATATGAGCTCAAACGGTGAGTATCAGCTCACGCGGTTTTCTCTTAAGTCAAATATTTTGTTATTGATGAAAACAGATGGTTCATACTATCACCGGTAGTAAGAATTTAAATTAATCGAGAAGAGAACAGTTTCAGAATATATTTTACTCATAAAAATTTATCTCATAACTGGAATTGATTTGGGCTCTGTGACTAGTATAAGCAGCTCAGATGCATTAACATAATCACTGAACATCGAAAATAACTCAATTCTATCAATTTTAACAGACTTCAAAAATATTCATCCGTTTTAATACAATAAACCATGATATAATACTATCAAGAAAAAAAAATGGTCGTAGTTTCTCGGTAGTTATCACATGAGTTTATTCATCAATCAATTTATGATGAATTTTGAGAATACGAGAAAAAAAAATCATCTTTGATATATTTTTAGTTTTATACTTTTATTTTAACAATCTATGGATTGTTTCTTCTCGGTATACATATAACTACTTGTATCCCATCGAATTGGACTGGTTAGTAATTTATTAATAACATATTCATATATTAATTTTCTTTTTTTCTCAAAACAAATTCAACAGCATGTCCTGCTTGGCCACCACCAGTTACACTTCTTTTTATGATATCTTTTGGTTTAGAAGGACTATCCTTCTTAGCATTTACTGGTGTCATGACTTGTACACAATTATATTCTATATATACTGATACAAATGTATGTGTTTTTTAAGAACAAAAAAAATTATCCAAGAATGAAAAACTTTAATTTATTATTTTCTTTTTTCTTTTTAGCAAATTGAATTATTTAAAGGAGTAACAAATTTAAATCGAGAACGTAATTCTTTTATATATTCATTAAAAATAGTTTTTGGTTCACGAATTGGTTTAACATGGTTAAACCCATTTTCTCAACCAATTTATTTAATTACTCAAAATGATGAACGTATAATATTTGATATTTAAATGATTATTTTTTTATTTTTTTATTTTTTATTTTTTTGGTTTCTCTTTTTTATTATTCTTATTTTCATGACAATTAATAATAAACAAGTGAATACTAACACATAAATACAAGACAAAATAATTTGAAAGTTATTTAATAATGTTATATTTTATTGTTCATGTCGTTTGTAAGATTATTTTGAAGTTTTTTTAATGCATCAAATATAATACACATGTCACCTTTAAGATCCGATATTATTTGTGCAACATGTTGAGTATTTGAAACAACTTCAATACTTTGATTATATGGATTATAACGAACAGCAAATGGACGTTTTATTGATAACGCAAATTCTCTAAAAATACAAAAATAAAAATAAAAACAATTATACAAGATTATTATTGTTGCTGTCTTTTTTCTTACCTCATTCTTTCCTTTGCTTCAACAAAACTAGCTGAAACAAAATATTGATCTTGATATGTTGTAATTAAACATGTTTGTTTACAAACAACATCTGGATCAAATGGAAGTTTTTTAGCTTGATCACTTAATGCATGTTCTAATTCAGCACATGATGAAAGTAAACCAGCACCATATGCACGAAGACCATCATTTTGACGACATAAACCAAATTCAATTGTAAAAAAATAACACTACAATTTAAAAAAAAAATTTATATTAATATTTGTTGTGTGAGATTCGAAAGATTTGAACTTTACTGAATTAAAAGATCATCCACGAAAAATTTTTTTATATTCAATTTTTATTTTTTAGTTCGAAAAGTAGATGTATACAATGAAGAAAACAAAAGAAGGTCTGTGTCTGACAGAAGAAATAAATGAAGAAAAGAAAACTTAGAAAGCTCAAATGTTCTCGATTATGAGAGTCTTTCAAAAAAATGTCCGACTTTCTGCTAAAATTCTTAATTTTTTTTTCTAATTTTTATCGCTTCGTGATAACTTTGGACAGAAACTAGATTTTGAAACATCACTTGCCTTTCTCTAGCCGAACGTGAAAAAAAAATAAGCAGACAATATCGTTGCGAGATGAATAGGATTGAGTGGAGGACGGTCTGGTAGCAGATGGTCTGTTGTGAAAGGAATCGGGCCACGGTAAGTTTCTTTTTTCGTCCCACCCACTCATCACTTCTAGTACTCCGAGGATGAAAGCATTTTCTGCCGACTTTTTGGCCTCTTTCACCCCATCGACAATCCTGGAAGGTTCTATTTTGAATTTTACACCTGACTAATAATTTGTCTAGAGATGTTAGTCGATCAACTGACCTGTCACCATTGACTTACATTAATAAATGTATTTACAAATATATTCGGTCTGAAATCTCAAATATTGTGTTTTACATAAAACCACCATTTTGTAAAATAAATGAAAACATAGAAATTAGCTCAATCATCTAATGTATCAATTTTCCTCACAAAATGTTCAATTCGGTAAACTCTCACGTTTCAAACAGACAAAAACAACCGTTTTCAAGTCATAATTCATAACTAAAATTTTGAAATAATCAAAATTATTAACTTACTGTTGCTAAACGATTAATATCTTCTTCCGATGCACCAATAGCAGCAAGACCAATTTCATGAGAAAATTGAGCGAAATTTGGATCTGCTAACAATGGTATATGACCAAATAATTCATGACAACAATCTCTAAAATAAACAAGAAAAATTAATTAATATTCAGATAATTTTTTTTTCTTTTGTGAATTTAACGACAAAAAAAAACAACAATCTTACGGTTCAGGTGTGTATGAAGGATTCGATGAATGTCTTATATATTGTGTACAATGAAAAACTCGAAAGGCTAAACCATATAAAAAATCTCTTGGTGATAAATAACCAGCAACAGGCCGTAATGTAAAACCAGTTCGTTCACGAAGAAAACGTGATATATCTTCTAATTGTGGAATATTATCTTCTCTAAAAATCAATTCAAAAACAAAAATACTAAAACGAAAAAGTTGGAAAAGTTCATTTTACCTAAAACCACATTTTTCTCTTAATAATGGCCAATTAGCCAAATATTCATTACATGCATGTGTCGGATATAATTTATTTAAATTTCGAAATACTGCACCCCATGTTTCAATTTCTTCTTTTGTATATTCTACACGTGGTATTGAATCTCCACTAAATAATATAATAAAATTTTAAAAAAAACTAAACTAAACTAAACAATAGATATATTTACTGTTTATATGCAATAGCTAGATCATGAAAATACATTCGACGTGCACGATAAACTTGATCAGTAAAACCCTAGAAAAATCAAATATGAATTCATAAAACAAAAAAAAAGAAGAAAGAAAAAAATTTTTTACATACTGGATGATCAGCATCAAGATCAACACCATATAAAAGAACTTTAATTGAACATTGATCCAAATCAGTAATACGACGTGGAAACCAAGGTGTTTCTTCTACTAAAACTTAAAAAAGAAAAGAATTAAAATTTTTTTATTTTAAAAATCAACGTGATTAATTTCTATTTCGCGAAAAAAAAAACCATTAACCCATATTCTTTATTAATTATCCAAACCTTTTCCTTTCTTATGTTTTTTATGTTGTGGTTTTGATTTTGTTAAATTATTTCTCGAAAACTCTTCATCATCAAGACTATTCGTTCGAATAAATATATTATTTCGATCATTTGTATCATTTATTGGATTAAATAAAGATTGAGAACGATTATATTGAAGTGGATTAAGTTTTGATTTTGGAATATCAACACCAACAGGATATATCCATAAATCATCATCTCTTATAACAACAATTGAACCAGTTTTAGAATTTATTATTTGTTCATCATCACTACTTAAATTATCATCAATTGATAACATTGATGATGTTATTTCATTTTTTTGTGGTGATGTTGGCATTAAAAAACTTGACACTGGATTACGAATAAAACCTGGTATTGTTTGATTAATTGTTATTATAGGATTTCTATCGAGATCTAATGATGACCAAGATGATGCTGGAGAATCTATTATTGGTATAATACGTTGATTTGATGTATGTTGACAATAGGTACGTAAACAACATTGATCAGTTGATATTGACGATTCAATTGTTGTTGCTGTTGGCGATGAAAGATTCTTAACATTATTAATTAATTGATGTAATGATAATATATATTCATTCAAATCTGCTATTTGGTCTTGTACATCAGCTATTGTTATTGTTGATGGTGTATCAAATTTTTCAAGTTCTTGAATATTACGTATCATATGAATCCAATCATTCGTAACAAATATTGGTAAATATGAAAATAATTCTTTTGAATAAATTATTTGTATTATTGATAATAAACATGATGTATTTGTTAAATTATTTATACATTCTTCAATAGTTTCAAATATATGTTGATCAGTATTTGAAGTTATAATTGATAAAGAATAACGAAGAGAATTTTGTAAATTATAATATGCTTGTTCTAATTGTTGATATGTAAAAAAACGTTTTAAATTTAATTCGATTTCATTTATTGAACCATGATGAATAACATTTGATAAATAACATAATACATTATCATAACAAAGAACTGATAATGATGAATCATGACTTAATGAAATATGTAAGTGATGATCCAAAGCATTTTTTAAATTTAACGATGATAATTCCAATGAATTTAATAAATAAGATTTTTGAAACATACTTCGTATATGCTTGTTAACTGGCGATAAAATTATTTTATACGAATGAAAAGTTACTTTTTTAAACGTAGTTTATATATACTCTTTATTAGAGCAAAAATAGAAGCAGAAGATGTATGACCTTGTCTGTACTTTGAAACAGCCACAAATTTGAATATCAGTTATCGATCACACTTTTTCTAGTGAATACTAATTCATAATAGGAATAAAAATAATACATAGAGCATACAACTAATCATCAGTCTTCCATACGTTAGTGGCGTGATCACTTTTTATAAAAAAAGAAAAGGATCCATTCAGTATCATGTCACAGCTGTTTCGCTTTAAACTATACAAGTACTTTTGAATAATAAGTCTTTCAGTCTGATTCATAGAATATTTATTAATTCTAATCATAAATTAATTATTTTATTTGCTTATTTTTTAATGTTATAATAATAATTAATCATAATAGAAATAAACTATTAAATAATGTCAATACTCGTTTTTATTTTCTGATAAAATCTTTAACATTTAAAGTACTTATATCCGATGACAATAACATAGACTATGGACTTCAAAGAAAAAAATAGTGGTAGGCCAGATGTACCAAAATACAATAAATTTATTACAACTGACGCCTCTTTTCATTTACACTCTAAGATACTTATTAGTTTTATTTTTCTTTTTTTTGACATCACTTACTTTGACGTCCTATTGCTTGTCCATTTTGATCAAGAAAAGGCGATAAAGGTGAGAAATTGAAATCATCATTTCCATTTTTAATTGTGTGATCCTTCATATTATGATTTTCATTGTCATTATTAAAATTTTCTTTTGGTTCCAAAAGAATACTTGGATCGAATTCAACACCTGAAATTTGCCTTTTTAATTCTTTCATTGATTTTTGAACATTAGCTTGATCAGCTTCCAAATCAACATAAATTTCATATTCAGAATTTGTACGATGACAACGACGCGATTCAATATGAACGACATTTATGTTATGTTCCTTTTCAGAAGAAGAAAAAAAAATCGATATTAATGAATTTTACTTATCATCTAAAAACACTCAATGCTAAATCTAAGTTATTCATAGATAAACTTCTAGAATTATAATCAATCATAGCTTATTTTGAGATATATTGTGAATATGAAAAATTCTGTTTCATTTATGTGGGCATATTCGGAAAAAATGGTGAATATGGGAGCTTGATTTCATATCTAAATGAATAGTTCTATTCATAGAGCCCAGAATGATGTATATCTAATAGAATCTTAGGCACTTTTAAGCGAGCATTTCCCAATTTGATCATAATTCCTCAAATTAAAAGGAAATGATAAGCCTTCATTTATTTTCATGATTAG